TCATCCTCCATCTTCGTCATCATCCCTAGCGGAGCACCACACCTGGTGGGTCCGCTACATTGGTATCGGAGCGGGAACGTTCCCCGCTCCCACCCGTCACCCCGCACAGCTGGGAACACAGCCAGCACCCTGTACAACAGGGAAAACAGCAAACCCGACAGCGGGGTTTTTCGCTGTTTTTCGGGTGTTTTCCAACGAAAAGAAGGGAAAAAAAAGCAGGCGCCTGCAGAGGGTGACACATGGCGAAAAAAGGAGGCGCCACCACGAGCGGGTGTGTGCAAGCGCCAAGGCCAAGGCCGTTGCACGCGCCCACGCTGCCCCGCCCCCGGATTTACATTATCAAGATCCGGGATTTTTGTTGTTGATGGGGTTTGAACCCACGCCCCTATCGGGCCATGCGCGTGCGTAAGCACCCTGATAACACACTCGCCACAGAGTGTAGATGGCCCTGTAATACGGCACACTCATGTTGAAGAGGTGCCGTGCTGGCTATTTACCCCCCCCCCGCCGGCGAGCAGTGAGCAACAACGGGCGGGCTACTATTAGCCCCCACCCCCTTGGCTGCTGTTGCCTGTGCACGTGGCCATCTCTACTGCCACGTGGCAGCTCGTGGTGGAACTCAAGACCCCCCTGCTTAGGGGGCTGCTCTACAGTGGTGAGGGTCTGCTCACACAGCAGACCCTAGATCTGCAAATCTGGGAACTGCTATTGGAGGCTGATCAAGATCTCAGCCCCCTCTCCTCCAGCTGGCTTGCTGCAGCGAAGGCCAAGACCCTCCTGGTCTTGGTGTACCTTGTGCCCTTGGAGACACCCAGGGCCAGGTATCTCTTCTCTCTCTCCCCTCCCTCTACTAACCCACTCTCTCTACCTCTCCTATCTCCTCTTACTCACCCCTTCTCTTTCCCCCACCTTCTATTGCATATTTTCTCTCCTCCTTGTACCTTCCTCACCCCACCTTTCTCCCACCACCCATTCTTTTACTCTCCTTTCTTTATTTCTTTTCTTTTCTTTCCTCATTCTTCTCTCCTTGCTTCTTGATCCCTCTCCACCTTTCCCCAACCCTCCTCTCCCCCAACTACCACCACATCATCCCCCCACCTTCCACTTCCATCTTTTTCTCTCTCCCACCAATTTCTTTCTTTTCTCCTTCACTTTTTCATTCCCCTTCCCCCCCACTTCGAAAGTTTTCTGTTTTTCTTCTTTCTATCTCTCTTTTGATTTATCTTTTCTCTTTTTTCCAAAAATTTCAATTATCTTCTTCCCCACCTTCTTTTCTCATTTTTTGATTTATTTTTCTATTTATTCTGAAAATTCGATTTTCTTTACGGCAACCCTAAATGTGATTAGGTGTTAGTCTTTCTTGCTTTCGGCACACGTTTTGACCCCGTGGGGGTAACGAAGTGCTGCCAAAATGTTTTGATTTTTACTTAGTCTTTTTCGGCACACTTCGACCCCATGGGGGTAACGAAATGCTGCCAAAATTTTTGAAAAATCAAATACTTCATTTCTCTCTCCCTCCTCATCCAGTTATTTATTTATTTATTTATTTATTTATTTATTTATTTATTTATTTATTTATTTATTTATTTATTATTTCTTTATTTATTTTTTGAAATTTCTTTTTTTATTTGCGGCATCTTGAAACCTCAGGCTAGTGTGCTCACCTTGGTCTCTCCTTTCCCCTTGACACATTCTTGACCCCATGGGGGATAAGGAAATGCTGGCGAAAACTTCAAAAAAATAAATATTATTTTTCTTTTCACATTTTTTTTACTTCCTCTCTTAATTATTTTTATTATTTATTTTCTTTTGTTTTTCTCTTAAAATCTCGCTATTTATTTATTTTTCTCCCGCCTCCCTCCCCCCTATGCTTGCTATTTTATTTTCTTGATTAGGTCACCGGTACCCTACCCTAACCACTTAAACTTCGGTTAGGGTTTTCTTAGGGTTTTTCTAGGGTTTAGGGTTTTTCAACCCCCCCCCCCCTACTTCCCCTCCCTCTTCCGGCACCCTGGACCCGAACCACCCCTCCCCCTTTGACGGCGCCCGCGCTAGCCTTGCTAACGTCGTCCGCCGCTTTCTACCGCGGACCCCCCCCTACGCCCTCCGCTCACGCGGACCTCTTCTGGCCCCCTCCAGTCTGGTCCGTCACCTCCCCATGGCCAACGGTGTGTCACACGCCGCCGACGCGACGACGACCACGACATCGGGCTCCACACCCGTGTCGGCGGACCAGAGCCATCAGCCCCACGGGGATCTGCACACTCTAATCGCATCCCTCCTCGCACCCATTCAGGCACAGCTCGCGATCCTCGTGCCCTTACAGGCGCAGGTGACGGTCCTTCCCGTCGGCATGCAGCAATTCCAGGACGCTGACTGTCCTTCATCTCCTGGCTCCCAGTCCGAGTCCCCCGTCCTCCGACAGGGTGGCCACGGCGGAGCTTCCTCTTCCGCCGCCCCCTACCCAACCATCTTGGTGACTGTCCACACCCCTAGCACGACGGCCGCCACGAGCCAGGCCCTCCCTCAATCTACGGGCTCGCCCGCCCAGACCCCGGTCACTACGGCCACGGTACCACAACCCGCTACCATGGTCGCAGCTTTTTCAGGTGCCCCGCTTCTCCCTTCCCTTCGCACGACCGCAGCGCCACCTGACTCTCCCCCCTCTGGGAGGCCCCGCGCCACTTGTGCGTCCACTTCCTCCACTCTCCCTCCTGCCACTCCTCGCTCGATCCACGTCCAACTTCTCGAGGACAAGTTTGCGCAGATCCGGGCCGACCTCGCCCTCTTACGCCTTCAGCCACCCCCACCCTCACAGGCGGCTGCGCCTTTGGGCACACCCCCTACCTCCTCTACTCTTCCTCCCATGCAGGCTCGCTTCCCACGCCCTGCACCCTATCCAGCCCCATCATACCTTCTTCCTACTCCCGCTGTTGCTGCAACCTCTTCTACCGCAGCTCCCTCGCAGCCTGCCGCAGTTGCCCCCGCCGCTCCCCCATACGGCCCGGGCGCACAGTCAGCTGCGCCCCTCTCTCCAGGACCTGCGCCGACTTACTTAGTCGTGGCACAGGCCTCTGCTCCTCGATCCCCTCGCCGCCAAAACGGTGGCGCACCACTCATCCGCTTGTCGGACATTGCCTTGTATGATAGTACAGGCATACGCGTGTCTAGGTGGCTGCAGTCTGCCACCCGCACGCTCCAGCTCATGGGCGCCACACCCGACACGTGGGTTGGTCACCTCTCCACGCGCCTACGTGGCGGTCCTTTCGAGGCCTGGGAGGGTTTCTACACGTACTCCCTTCGTGAGGGTCGGACCCCGACCTTCATGGATTTCCAGGTGTTCCTCGAGGATCGCTTCGGAGCCCGATACGATGTGACTGACGCCTTCGAGCGTGTCGTCACTACACGCTGGTCCGTCTCTAGTGGCGTTGCCGCTCTGGATCGCCACATCCAGGTCTTTAAGGACGCTCGCCTCATTTGTTACGTGGCGTTCCTCTTCGAGGCTGCCCTTATCGATCGTTTCTTGGCCAGCCTCCCACTCGAGTACCACTCCGAGTTATGGCGGTACGAGTTCACATCGGCCCCGCAGGCTTACGAGGCCGCCAGGGACCATCAGCGGATGTGGGCCCGTCTTCACCCGCCTCCTCCTCCTAGCCACAGCGTACTGGTTACGCCTCCTCCTCCTCTCACGGCACTTCCCAGCGTCGTTCCCCTTTCCGCGATCGCCCCCGCCATTCCGCGCAGCAGGGCCGCCACTTCTTGCGCCACTTCAGCGCGCTCGAGTATGGTGAGCAGAACGCTGGTGCCCCGCTGGCGCCAGAGGGTGACCATAGCGACGACTTCGACCTCGGCGAGGCCGTCCACCACCACCTGGAGGACCCTACTCTCCCTATGGTTGAGCGCCTCCAGCTCATCCACTCCACCCTTTCCCGGGCACGCAGCCGCACTGATCACGCTGGCGCGTCGCCCCCCGAGGTCCCTCAGCAGGACCTCCCCTAGGGCTTTGTCCCTCCTCGCGGTGTCCTTTCCGCTAAGGAGCGCACGGCTATTTTGGGCCGACGTGGCTGTTTGCGATGTCGTCACGACGGTCATACCTCCTCGCGGTGCCCTTACACCACTACCCTTGACCGCCACTACGCTGACCTTTCATGCCAGCGTCGTGCTCAGTCCCCCCCCGACGCTTCTCATCCCTGCGGCGCCTCTTAGCCACGGTGCAGTGTACACCTGCGCCGTCCTCAGTAGTGAGCTTCCCCACATCTCCATCGCGGTTCGCCCCTCTCTTTACTGGAGCTGAGGTATTGCAGGACTCGACAGAGTGTACTCAGCCCTCTGTCGCAGTACCGTCTGCGCCTCCGTAGACCACTGTCTCCCCTCCTTCCCCGCCGCGACTACCGACGTGTCGAGCCATTCGCTCAGCCCGTTGCAGCGAGCAGCGAGCAGCTCGCTACTCGCGAGGACGTGTCCTCTCTTCTGGACTTGAGCATGCTCCAGGTTCGTCAGGAGCGACTCACCCGCCATGTCGCTGCACTGCGTCGCCTTCTCACCATCCTCTCTGACCCTGATCGCACCCTCCCGATCATCCCTGTACGACAGGGGACCTCCACGAGGGTGCACTCAGCGTTGTGGGATTCCGGTTCTCAGGGCGACTTCATTCACCCACGTGTGGTGAAAGAAGCCCGCTTACCCACGACAGGGTCTCCGACTCCCATCTTCGTTACCCTAGGGGATGACAAGACCCAGCGCTTCTTCGATCAGACGGTCACCGACCTCCCTTTCTTCCTCACTTTCGAGTCGACTGATCGTTCCCCGGCGTCTCGTCTCCACTGCTCCTCTGCACATTTCGATGTGATCGATACGGGGGTACGACTTCATTCCCGGCAGTCCGTAGTCTCGTCGGTTCCGCAGCACCGAGGCCGATTGGGCGACCAACACTTTCGTTCTCAAAACGAAGTGTGGACAGACGTATAGTGCACCTTTCATAGGTACCACCGCGATACCACGCCCCGATCCTCCTCCCCCGAAGCCTTCCGTGCCCACACCACCTCCTTCTATAACTGTCACCTCGCCTCGGCAGTTCGCCCGCTTCATCCGACAAGACGACGTCACCTTCTTTATGGTGAACGTGACGGATCTCTTACACTATGATCCACCCTGTCCCGACGCCGAGCTCATCCCTCTAGAGTCAGATCCTCGTTCTATCTTCATGGCTCCCATCTCTACTTCCGTCCCTCCGCCGTCCGTCGAGTCCACCCCGCCGTCGCGCGCGGACGCTGACGCTGAGGAACCCGCACGATGTACGGCTGACCTGGAGCCCGCAGTTCGTGACTTTATCCGAGAGTACCACGACGTTTTTCCATCGTCGTTCCCGTACGCCGGCATCCCACCGATGTGTCACGTCGAGCACTCCATTCAGCTTGTGCCTGACTATCGTGTTCACCACCAGGCACCCTACAGACTCTCGATCCCCGAGGCCACCGAAATCAAACGTCAGTTTGAGGAGCTCCTGAGACAAGGTTTCATTAAACCCAGCAACTCCCCGTGGGGTGCACCCGTCCTCTTTGCTCGCAAAGCGGATGGAACTCTCCATCTCCGCATCGACTATTGCGGTCTCAACCGCTACACAGTTAAGAACAACTACCCCATGCCTCGTTCCGATGAGTTGTTCGACCGCCTAGCAGGCAAACGCTTCTTTACGAAGATTGATCTTCGTAGCGGTTACCATCAGATCCGCGTCACTGCAGCCGACCAGCCGAAGACAGCATTCCGATCACGCTTCAACCACTACGAGTTTACGGTGATGCCATCTAGCCTCACCAACGTACCCGCTACCTTTCAGAGGGCGATGAACGACATCTTCAGGGACATCCTGGAGCAGTACGTTCTCGTTTACCTCGACGATATCCTGGTCTACAGTCGTACCCTTGAGGAGCACCTCAGACGCCTCCACGACGTCCTTGACCGCTTGCGCAGACATGGCTTTTACGCCAAGTTGAGCAAGTGCCGCTTTGCCCAGCATAAAGTGGATTTCTTAGGACACTACGTGTCTGACCAGGGTCTCCACATGGAGGACGAGAAGATCACTGCTATTGCGAAGTGGCCCGTCCCCGCATCCGCCAAGCAGCTTCACAGCTTCCTAGGCCTGACCAGCTACTATTGTAATTTCATCCAGGGATACGCTAGGTATTCCTACGTCCTTACCTCCACCCTCCTCCGGAAGAACCCACCATGGGCTTGGACACCCCTCAACGAGGATGCCTTCCGCGCCCTCAAGAAGGCGGTGACATGCGCACCGGTTCTTCACCTACCCGATTTTGATCGCCCTCTTATCCTTACCACCGATGCGTCAGACTTTGCCGTAGGAGCAGTGATTTCTCAGATCTTTCCCTCCTCTGCTGATTCCTATTATCCTCGTATCCCTCGCTTCCCACCCCCTACCCCTACCACTGCCTTCCGACTGACGCCTACTCGTCCAGCTACTGACGAGCCTTTTGTTGACTATTCTCCTACCATCGTCGAGGACGGCACTGTCGAGTCTCCCTCAGGTGATTGTCCGATAGCCTTCCACTCCCGTCAGCTTCTGCCCGCTTAGATAAACTACACTGCTGATGAACGTGAGGTTCTCGCGGTTTTTATGCCGCTCGGCACTAGCGTCACTACCTGCACGGAGCACCATTCACGGTGCGCACGGACAACTCTGTTGTCCAGGCTTTTCTGACAAAGCCGAAGCTCACTCCTCGACAGGTTCGCTGGTGGTGCGACCTATCCGAGTTTAGCTTCATCACTAAGCACATCAAGAGTGAGACTATTCGGGTCGCAGATGCCTTATCCCAGCGCCCTGACCACGACCAGGAGCAGATCCAACTCTCTTCCATCTCAGTCACCACTATCCACCACTCGGTGATCGACGAGTTTCGCACTCAGTACCGCCACTGCCCCGACTATCGCGACATCCACGCGACCCTTTGGAGTGGCAAGAACGTCCCGAACTACTCTCTCGGGAACAACGGTCTTGTGTACTGGCACGGTTCACAGGGCACCAGACAGCCCCGTATTTGCGTTCCCTCCAATGGACTGCTACGTGTCCGAGCAGTTGCAGAGTTCCATTACCAGGCAGTCGCAGGTCATATGGGCTTCCACAAAACGTTGGCTCGTGTAAGCCGCCTGTACGTCTGACCAAAGCGCAAGGATTTTGTGAAGGACTGCGTCGCAGAGTGTCCCACCTGTCAGGAGGTGAACAGTGCAAACCACCTCCCTTATGGTTTGCTCCAGCCTCTTCCTATCCCTGAGGGTCGTTGGCAATCCATCTCGATGGACTTTATCGGTCCCCTTCGTCCTCCGACCCCCCGCAGTCATGATGCTATCCTTGTCATCGTCGACCACTTCACGAAGCGTGCACGCTTTGTTCCGTGCCGCTGTCAGGCGGCCACAAGCAGTGCGCCGCCTGAAATCCACGGTTTAGGGACTTAGCCTCAAAGACAAGTCCGTGCAATGACGGTACTCTGGTTTGACCATGCAGCAAAAATTAGGGGCACCCCGAGTACCCCTAAGATTAGATATGACGACCGTTGAGACTAGCTCTCGAAATTGATA